TGTGAACCCAATTATTGTGCTTTTTGCCACAATATGGTGCAACTTAAGGCAGTCTCAATGTATCAGCCTTAAGGTACAAACTACCAGGTTGAAGGCTTCTCAAACAGCCAAGACCTGATAGAGACATTTTGGTCAAACATTTTCCCTCTGTCCTTGTCTTAGTCATGAAGACTATCTTCATATGTCAGTGCATCTTTCAACCAGCATTTCTGTTGGTGAGAAAGCAGCAGCCTCTTCCACATTAGTCTCCTAAGAGTTTATTAGTAGTATGGAAGAAATGGTTATGGCAAAAAGTGTCTGAGCCTCGTGGTCTACGGAGGCCTAGAGGTTTGGGTCCAATTCTGAATCTTTCTTTGTCCTTGGGTACAACCATATCATAGCAGAATGGCTTCGGTAACCATTAGGGCTGCCTCTTAGGAACCACCAAAGCAAGCAGAGAAAAGAGGAAGCCTATTTGCATAAAATCAACCATGCAGGTTTATATAGAGAGGCATATTTATATAAATCTGCTGCAGCTACAATAGAAATACAGTGCATCTTATCATAGTCAAGAAGGATTATTTCCTTTAACAGAAGCGCCTCCTGGACAGGGACATCTGCTTTATCTTGCATTGTCTTGCTCTTCCTTGCCATTGCTGCTGGCAGTGGCCTAGTTCACATCAGCTGGTGGGTCATACTGGTTCACAGCAACATGTGGGTAAGCAGGAGGGTGTAACGTGCAAGTTCAAGCTGGCCTAAAACACATGTCCTCTTCCTCCCTTTAATGTCTGCTGCAAGACAATAACAGATACCAGGCATATTGATTCTCCATCTCAGGAATGCTACTGCACCCACTGGGGGTCTTCTGAGGACATTGCAGTGCAGCTTTCTATATTTTAGTATGATATGGCTAAGGCTGGCAAGTGTGGGAGAATCAAGGAGGGCTTCTTCACCACAGAACAGCTTGCTGTTTTGAATGTGGTTTTCTAGACAAGCAAGAACGGTAATTGAACTTACCAGTGTACATAAGAAGCCCCATTAAAGGGCTGTGTCTATAATTATGTAGGCACACTACTGGGACAGTTGCTGGGCGGGCACCTTCTGCTCTCAAGCACGTTAGCACACCCAAAGGTCCTCCTGCATCCTGTTTTGCTTTTCCTGTGGCTTCTAGGGCTGAAATGTGTTCACCTTCTTATATGGCAAGGGACCCACCACTGTAGCTCCTTCTGCTGTCGTGATCCAGGTCTCCCTGCAGGAACTTGGACCAGGCCGGTTCCCAAGCTATTGTCACTTGCATAATAGAATTCCCCTTTTGTGACACTGAAGGCAGGAGCGGCAACTTATATGACCCCCTCCAGAGGACTTGGCTTACAACTCCTGTGATGGGGAATGATGGATGTCGTAGGCCAAGTCATCTGGGGTGCCACTAGCTGCCCATCCCTGGAGTAGGCAAGCCCCCCTCATTAAGCACAGCATTTCTGAAGTTGAGATTGCCTATTAATCGTCATGTGCCACTGCATGCCAAGACTGAATTAAAACTCAGCTGATTTATGTAGCTATGATCCCTCAAAATGAATCCCATGCAAGGGGCAAAACCTTACAGCACAGCATTTCTTTGATGTTTCCACTGTTGGTGCTGCTGAAGAGACACGCTGCATCTGAATGTTAAGTTCAGCTACTTGGGAGGTTGCCTCTTCACATGATGGAAATGTTAAAGAAACCTCTCATCCTTTATAATATTTCTGTTATTTTTCCTGTGGTGCTGAGCACCACCTGAAAGAAAGACGTAAGAGTGCCAGTGTAGTGTACTGCTTAAGTACAAGACTGGGATGCAGGCGACCTGGGTTCTAGACTCCACTCAGCCATGGAGCTCACTGAGAAATTTGGGCCAGTCACAGACTCTCAGCCTGATCTACCTCACAGGGATGTTGTTGTGAGTTTAAGATGGAGAGTAAGAGGAGAAAGTGAAAAAAAGGCAGGATATAAGCATAATAAATAAAAAGTAGGCAGTACCTTGTTGCTCTTGACCCAGTGAAAATGCATGGCTCTTGGGCTTCAGGTTTGCACCCACCCAGTAGAACAGCATATGGCACTGACAGTACATGAAAAATACAGAGGAGCCATGGCAGCTGATTGTTAAGTAATGGCAAGGAAGAAGACTGGACAATACACTGACTCTTTTGGGGAAATTATAAAAATTCACATCTTTAGACTTTGGGAAAGATCCAGAATGTCTGAAGTATCATAAGTTTAGATAAATAGACATGCTGATTAGTTACACAAATCCCATAGGTATGGAGAAGGTCAGTTTGAAATGCTGGGTTTAGATAATGAAGATTTAATTAAGAAAGAGTTTTTGTTTTCTGTGTTGAGTGGACACAAACATCAGCAGAGAATTGCAGTGGAATGATTATCTAGCCCTTCCAGGCACAGATGTTTGTGTGCGCCTGTGCATGTTGCTAGGTGTTTTTCAGGGTGGTGCATGCGTGTTCCGCTTTGCTAATCCCAAACAGAGCAGAAACTAGCCTTCAGCCCTGCCAAAAGCTCACAATGGATTATTCAACTTCACAGCTCAGCTGTAGGAAATGAAGTTTTAGATGAAAAACAGAAGTTAACAAGAGACAAAACGAGGCCCCAAGAACATGTGCTTTGCAACATACCACTTTTAAGGACAGAGGCCCCATTACTTTAGAGGCGCTGGCAGCACTGTGCATCTCATCCCCTTGGCTGTCAAAATGTAAGCACATGCTGCCCCGGATGACTCCAGGCTTCAGGAACACCGGCTAAACAGGGCAGAAGAACAAGCCTCACCTTTCACTTGGGGCCTGTCTCAGGTGGGGATGTTCTGTGGGTTTGCTGCTCTGCAGCACTTGCAAGACCCCTCAAGGGTAAATCCCTTCCTTAGAGACAATGCAGCGACTGTTCGATGGCAGTAACAATCTCTTGGGCCAGGAAGGGTGAGCCAAGAGTGAGGGAAGTTCCTTGGCACAGCTTGGAGGGATGAATCAGCGAGAAGGATTGCACTCTTCTGCGAAAGCTCCTTCCATCTCCATTCTCTGCCACACACAGGTGGGTCTACCCTGGCAGTCCACCTTCCCTTAACAGTCTGTACTTCATGTACTCTACTTAAAAAACAAGTGCTAGTCATCATACAAAGTCAAGCCTTTCCATAGAAGATGCACTTCGTGCTGTGTTCCAAAATACTAATGCATCCAGGCATAATGTCAAAGGGCACAGACCAGGTTCTATCACTGTAATAGTTTCCCTTATCTGAACATTAGCAGGTCCTTGAACAGTTGCTGCCTAGTATCTGATCTCCCCTGCTCAACCGGACACTGCTAGATACCATGATGAAAGACATGAACGATCAGGAGCTTGCCACATTTTCTTCTCCTTTTACTACTAGGAAATGACTAGTTTTGCGCATCGCCTCACTATCCCGTAAAGAAAATGTTCTCATCTCATTTGCTTTGCTTAGCCAATGTTCTCTTATTTGGCCTGTCTCCACACTTCTTTTGCTTTTGCTCTCTTTGCATTTCATGTAAGCCTGAAAGTAAGATTTATTTTTGAACTGCTCCCTTTTGTATGCTGACTAGCACCATAACAAATAATAATCATGTTTAAGACACAACTCATCATTCAAAGTCACTCTTCCACAGTGGCTTCCTTGAAAGAGTTATGCTTTTGGAAAAGGTTGTGTCTGAACCTGCACCTCTTGTTGCATGTGCATTCAAACCAGACTGTCAGTCGTGGTCCCAACTGAACTTCGATGACAGCAGCCCATTGTTATTAAGAGAGTGGAAAGTGGCTAGAGGCAACTTCCCGTACGGCACAGCACACATTTATTTAATCTAGTTGTTTCCTCAGGTCGCACAAGTTTATAACATAAAATGTAAGAACCTGAAAAATCTGTTTACCAGAGGTAAATGTATATAATGTATATAATAGAATAAATGTATATAATAGAAAAAGAATCCCTTTTTCGAACTGCCTTTAAATTTTAAAAAGCTCTTGCTTGTCTCCAAAATTTGCACTTATTTATTCATCCTTCTTTAGGGATGCTGGGCTTTCTGTTCATTTTAAACTACAACAATGCTGAACATGTTCAGTTTCATCTGTACACTCATGAAAAATTGTGATGAGTTATTTGAAACTGTGTGTGTGTGTGCGCACGCGCATGCAGGACCTTGAAAAATCTTTACCATTAGGAAATACTTGAGGATGGTAAGGACAGAAAGAACACCTCCAGACACCTCCTTTGAATTAAATTAATGAAAAAAATAGCAAAATGGTATGCATAAAATCAGTGCTTTTTTTGTAAAAAAAAAAAAAAGGTGCTGGAACTCACGTCCCCTCTGGCAGTAAGCACACACACCAATCCCAAGCTGAGCAGCAAGCAGGAGCAGAGTCCCAAGCAGCTATCTCTCACTATCAGATAGCAGACAGCAGACACAATAGCAGCCTGCAGGCACTATGTTAATGATGTTTGCTGCTGATCTGCTATGCCCAACCCAAAATCACTTCGTAAAATCAATTGAAAAAAAGGTGCAGGGAACCATGAGTTCTATGACAAAAAAACCCCTGCATAAAATCAATTCACTTGTAGTGAGTTGAAAAAGCACTGACATGAAAAGCATAGATAGGAAAGACCATGCCTCACTTCTCCAATCTGAAGGCTCGTATCACCTCTTTAGTGACAGACATAGAGGATGTTAAATGCAATAGCCCCCAAAGTACGCGAGAGCGTAAAGGCATGCCGGGTGAGAGGACTTGCCTGTGCCCACTTACATGACAGGCAATACTGACAACTGCCAAATCACCTGTCAACCCTTTCAATGCCACCACCACCACCCTTCTCATCCACTGCCACCAAGCCCCATCCTTTGCCGAAGAAGCACAGAGTTCTAATTACTGAAGCATAATACTGAAAAGAAGGGACTGCAAAATGGAAAAGATTATGTAAATATTTATGGAAGGACTGGGGAAGTATTGAACGCAGCTGACATTGTGTCAGGGGCCTTCAGACTATTGAGTTGCCATTCACTATTTTTCCACCAAAGGCAAATAGAATTACAGTGGACTGATGTTGTTTATATGCTTGGAATGGAGTCAGAGTTCTTCTTTGAAGGCCTTATCCTCTGGCTTAGGGTTTTCTTTCTGAAACAAAACAGAGCAAGGGAACCGCATCAACATCACGAGTTTTCATTGACCGATGAACGGGGGTGGGGGAAGATGAAATCCAGATAGCATAATCGGTGGCAACTAATCCTTTCCTCCTGGCATCTCTTACCCCATTTTACTTATACCAACATCTCTCAAGATTACTGTCTAAAAGCAGGAAATCTCTCACAAGCCATCTTTGTCTTGTAGGCACACTGACCTGGTCTGAATGTTCTAATAGGCCACAGTTTACAAAATGTGAGTTGTTGAGAAGATAGGTGGGAATGACCATTCATGTTCCATCCCTGGGCCATTTAGTGAATCCAGAACTCTGAACTGAACCCATCAGTACAGACACTGGATTGTTTGTCCCCCAGCAACCCATGGCTCTGCATTCAGATGTCTTAACAATGGGGCATCTCTAGGTTGCTTATCACAAAGAGCAGGTGGGTATGCAGGAAGCCACATGCACACAGAACACACATGCTTGGTCCTACTCGTCATCTGAATGATCCATGGTATGTTGACCATGGCAGACAATGGCATGCAAATCAGGCCACTGAGATAAAATAGCTGAAAGGCAAGCTGCCTGAATGTCAAGATTGAAGTCCTCTCCTTTTTCTGAGAAAGGCTGCAGTGCAGTGGCAGAGTATATCCTTTTCGTATAGGAATCCCAAGGCTCAGTCCCTGGCATGTCCAAATCAGTCTGCCCTGGAGAACTACTGACATGCTGTAAAGACAACACTGAACTAGATGGAGCAATGGTGAGGATGTGACTCAGGCCACTTCATCTGATCCTTTGAGATGGCAATTAATAAATTTAGTATATCACTGGGGGCCCAGAGGTGCAATTCTCATATTTCAAAAATCTGGACAAATATTCATTTTGTGTTCAATTCTCCTTATGGAAGGGCACATGAAAATACTTTAATGTCCTTGCACAACATGCCCTTGTGAGATCAGTCCCCTCTGAAGGGCACAAATGCTTCTGCTCACAAGTCTGAAAACCAAGGTTAGGCATAAATTCTCCATTCCAGTGCTTGAAAGTTGGTTGACAAACTAGAAAGAGCATTGCATGCGAGATAAGACTTGAAGGGTGTCCGCTTGACTGGGAGGTTGCCATTCCTTCAGGCTGCTGCTTCACTGGGATGCCTAAGAATGTGCATGTTGGTAGCCATGCAGTGCACAGCGCAGCTTCTAATGTGCTGAAGCACCAGCAGAGTTCACAGATGCTAAGCGATTAACTTGCACAATTACTCAGGTAAGCTGCAAAATGGTTTGCCAGTTTTTGTTAAAAGTCTTCTAAGCGTGCCCCAGTCAGAAATGCTTTAGGGCACCATTTGGTGTGACTGTTGTAACCTTCTGACCTTGAAGGATTACAGACATCCCAAAGAAGGCAGTCAAGGCTGACTCAGCGCTCCCTTGCCCTCCAGAACATTGAGGGCATGACCCTGTGCAAGTTCAGACAGACAGAAGGCCTACAACTCCCAGCATGTCCCAGCCAGCATAGCTGGCACAGGGGGAGGTGCCTTACTCCTTCCCTCCCTGTCCTCCAGAACACATCAAGATCTGAAGATGGTCCTCCGTCTCTGGAACCCAGCCAGCATGGAAAGAACAGTGCTGGCTGTGAAGGCAGATCCGTCAAGGTCAAGGCCCCATCTCTGATGCTGAAGTGCTTCTCCCAGTTCAAGCTGGGACCCGAATCTATACTGCGACAATGTCAGGTAGTAATAGGATTTTTGCTATTTTGCAAAATTGTGCAACCCAATTTGTACACTATATTCCAACCCCAGCATTTCAGGTTTAGGGGTTTTGTGCTTTTTTATGGGTGGGGAGGAAGCACAGATCTCTATAAACCCTCTGAGATGACAAAACATTTCAGAAGACGGAATTTTACTCTGATGATATTAGCCTCACAGGGCAAGTATTTCCACATAAGTGCTTTCCCCAGGATGAATGTGCATAGGGATTTTACAACCACCTTGGAGGAGATGCACTGCAGGTCTTAGCTGGAGCCAAGAGAAGATACAGGAGGAACTACATGATGACTGGTGCAATTGCATTGCTGCCATCTGCTAAGGGGTCAGAATGGCCTTAACATTCTGGCCTTAACATTCTATACAGACAATTCCAGGCATATGATAAACTTCATTATCTTTCCATTCAATGTGCATTTTTAAAGCAAATGGAAGTTACTTAGAAGGGGTGGGAATCATCATTACTGGCATCCCAGCAGGTGTTCAGGGGGAGTTTAAACTTTCCCTTACCAGATGCAGCCCTGATGTTTCAGACTAGGCTAAGGGGGAGACGGGTTCAAATCACCACTCAGCCGTCAGGCAGCCAGACACCATCTTGCAACTCACTTCCCAGGATTCTCATGAGGATCCAGTGGAAAATGGCCAAGAACTGTTACCATTGCCCTGAGCAACTTGGAGAAAAGTGTAGAACATAAGTGTATTCAATTAATTAAATGTGAGCATTGGGAGGAAATCAAATTGCTCTTAGGTAGCAGTGAAGAATTCCTCCTAATGCAAAACTGTATTTAACCTCTAATCTGGTTTGGGCCTTAATTTATTATATAGGACCCAAAAGGTGTGCTCTGAAATCCATGAGGTTTGTCACACACGACACCAAACCATGATAAGAGAAATTAGCAGAACATTTCCAGGCAGCAGATGGATGCGAAAATAGAGGTGCAAGCTGTGACTGGGGAGTCGAGGGGTCATTATGTGGTCACCTGGCCACTCACCTCTTGCATCTTCTGCAGGAAGTCATGGCAGAATTCCTTTACTGTCTCCACAGAGATCTCCTCCAGGGGCAGCACAGCCTGCTCCTCGTCAGGGGTGTGGTATGCAGCCAGGGCAGGCAACTGAGACTTCTTCAAGTGAAAATATGACATCACACGTTCATTGTTCTTTACATGGATGTCCACCCAGATAAAAAGAATCTACAATGAGAGAAAATCTAAATTGCAGAGATGTTCTCAAATGCTCATGCAGAGATTTAATATTATCACACAGATACAATGAAGAGAGACCAAAGGAGGTTCCTGCAGATAGAATGATGATGACGCTGGAGCAGAGCAGCCAACTTGCAAAAATCTGCAAGCACCTGAATCTTCATGCAGACGCTTTAGCTTAGGACTGGAGAACTTCAGGCAGAGGGCCCAAATTGAGCTCTGGATGGGCACATTCTCCCCACCCGCTTTTGCCCAACCAGCAGTTTTCTAGCTTTTGTGCCATTTTCTCCTGCTCTGAAAGGTTGAAATGCCTTTCTTAATGCTTTGGTCTTCTCCACCCAAGGTATTTATTGTTTGCTGGTCAGTCTGCGGGTGTGTTATACAAGGTCATCATCCCCAGGACTTCTCCCATTCTTTACAACCATTTTCATTGCTGTTTATAGATTAATGCAAGTGTGGTAATATCTAGATTTGATGAATGAAGCCAAATGTGACCCTCGTGTGTTTGTACAATTCTGCTATACTGCAGCCCCACATTGTGAATGTGTAATGGAATCCCTAGAAAGAGAGAGAAAGAGAGAGGAAAACAACTCCAGAAAATAAACACAGATGTAAAGGAGCCAATCTTAATCCTGCAAAGAATCCAGAAGCAAAAGCTTTAGTTTGCAGTATGGAGGTGGGGCAAAAACCTCAAGTAAAGCACTCCTTACTTACTAACAGTAAGAGTTTTGCATTACACTGAGCTGGTCTTCTTTGTATATTTCACTTCATCCATTTTGTCTCACATCCCTCACACTCACCCATCACTGGAATATAGCTCCCCAAGAGCTTCTCTGAAATTGAATCTGCTGCTCAGGTTGAAAGTGATTTAGTCCACCGCTGTTTTAGCGCCTCACAAGGTAGGGACTGAATTTAGAAACTCAACTTGGGTTGGAAAAACCCAAATTCACCATGGAAATATTTGTCATACTCTGCTGCCAATATTACCCTGTGCTAATAAGCTGAAACATTTGCATAAAAATAAATGTGTTAAAAACTTGATGCAAACTATTTCAATATCATATGCAAGTCTGCACTTTAAAATGAAGCATTCTATAATAATGTATTAAATAAAAACTATCAAAAATTCCTTAATGATATCTAAAATAATAATTCCCATAATTAGCAAACTGAATTGACTTATTCTGAAGGAAGTAAACCAATGCAATGAAACTTCTTAGTGTAAATACAAGTAATCAAAAGCTTATTAGTGCTTATTATTAATGCTATACATGCAAAGTCAGAAAGTACAGGAAGAGGATAGAACAAACTCACCCCTTATTACAACATAGCAAACCTGAAAGACCACTAGGGTTGCAAGCACTGGTCTGTCAAGGCCTGTTGTCAGGTGGGGACAACGATCACAAGACCAGGAACAAAGAGAAATCAGAAGTGGGGAATGCCCCCATTCCACAGACTGACAGACCTAAACCATGCTTTCCAAACTAGCCACAACCATGTACAAGAGAAGAATGCATTCAGATTTATGCATCTTCTTTTGTACAATTTTATCCTGTCTCCTTCATCTAAAATCTCCTGTCATGCAGGGAATATTTTGCTTTTGATCCTATGAAGCTAATTATCTTAATTATTTCCAGCTGGACATTTGGGCAGATTGTTCATCAAACTGGTGATAAAGAAATAGCACAGTGTGTGTAAAACATGCTTTCCAGGCAACTAAACCCAAAGAAGGGAGTGATTATTTGGACTGGCAGTTTAAACATTAATCCACTCCTGAGATATTTATGCATTCCAGCTCTGAATCTTCTGAACTGCTACATATCTCTTAATTTCTCTGATTCATCATGACTGCATTTGGCCCAAGGCTACATTAACTGTGATGCTAAGTTACAGAACACTCTAGTCTAGTCTCATTATCAGCAAAGCCACATCTTGAAAAGCAGTCTTAGTATCTTCTATCAGTCCTACTCCTTGAAAACTCCCACAGCTCAGAACACCAGTTTGTCTGATCATTGCGGCTGAAACAAGCCAGAGTGGTTTGTTGCAGGCAGGCACACGTGGCAGGTACCACAAGCTGCAGTGGCTTCTTTCAGCCACTGTGATCACACAAACTGGGTCACTGCCTATTTCTATATGCAAGGCGTGAGGTCTCATTTTAGCAAACTGGAAATGGTGATATATATATTTCAGGACTTCACCAACATGCTACCAATACCAGCTTGGCAGGAAGGAATCCCTCAGGTGCAGTTCCTCCATTTACCTGTAG